GTAACTGGGCATGAGGACACCTAAAAAGGACAATTCTATGTCCAAAAAATACCCATAACTTATTTCTGAATTGTCTCTTGTTTTGGTAATAAATTTTGCTACCACTGTTAGAATTAGTTTTCCCTTTAAGCCCTGATGTATTGTAGATGTACTGTTCACTACTCAGGATCTTTTGCCAACAGGTTTTACTGATGGGCTTCAGTTCAGTTGAATTTCACTTGATTCAATGTCTTTGCTTAAAATTTTTAGAGTACTTTTGTTCCCTGCGGTTTCTCTAATGTAATTTATAAAATTAATGAGAAACTAGGGTGTGGTTAATGTAAGATTGTAGCCTAGGTTGTGATTGAAGGGTATAAAAAAACTATTGATACTACATATTTGCAGAATATACCAATGAATTCAGTCTGGGCTGTTCTGAGGTGTAAATCCATCCTTCAGTAGGATAGCCAAAATCCTCCTCTGATTGTGATGCTTCACCCAGACTGCTCTGTCCTGCAGGTTCTCCAGGTGCTCCTCCAGCCCAGGAGCTGAAATTGGCTCCATTTGAATCAATAAGAGTTTTATCACAGGCCTTACTAGCTCCAGTATTGAGTCCTGCAGTCCCAAGTCTGTGCTAACTAGTCAGATTCCATTTATCTAAAGAAAAGCTGTGAAGTGGGAAAATTAAAGACGAAGAAACATCATTTAGTCTGCCATATAATAAAGTATTTTAGGCTTAGCACTCTGAACAGCAAAAGGTGCTAATGTGTGTTATTGATGCCATGGCTGAGGATTTTCTCATCTGGCCTACAGAGAAGTGAAACAGCTTTTTCAGTATTTCAAGTGAGGGCAGAGGGAAGAAAATTTTAAGGTGAAATTGTGAAAAATTTCTATTGTAGGGTCCTAAATTTGTGCTCATTCCCATTACCAAGGGTTGTACTCCTCTCTCAGAAAACATTTTAATTACAGATATTGAAGACAGTTTTAACTGTCATCTAAAATTAGAATCCAACACAACATTCCCTAAAACCTTTTAGACTCAAGTTTAATTAATGCACCAAACAGAAAATGTTCATTTGCTAAGACTTTAAGATCTCCTGTTGCTTTGCTTAAGTTTGTTCGAAACATTTTCCCAAAATAGTAATCTAATCCATGCATTGTCATCTTATGACATGTGACAAGATCAGAGCAAAAACAGTCTTTGCAGTGGCATTTCAATTTTTATCTAACTAGCCATCAAAACAAGCAATCAAACTGTAACAATTTGTCTTCCTCTCACCAAAGATTTCCAAGGAGAAGCAGCACAGTGTGCACAACATTTCACTGACTTGGAACTTGAATTTGCAGAAAATTCTAAGGACCCTTTACAACTGCACATGTAATGACCCACAGCATCCACACATCTGCCCAAGCTGTATCTTCAGTGTGTTTAAAATGCCATCTCATTTTCTAGCTAAACAAATATGTTGATGCCTTGGATTTACAGTAATTTACTGATTCTGTCTTTGCCATCTGATGGCAGTACCAAAAATGAGGAATGGCTTTGCACGCTGATGGCATATCTCAGAATGCTTGAATCTTATCTGCCCAGGAGGTTATTGAATGTTGATTGTAAAATGTTGAATGCTATCCCATATATCTCTGGTAATACGATCTGTAAGAGGAGTTAGTTACACAGATTTTGAAACACTATGAACAGCAGGTCATTTTTATTGAGCTGCTCCCTACACAGTTCCCTAATGATTCCTTGGACAGATCTCTGATTGCAAATACCAGTAGCTAACAAAGGGATAAAATGACTCTGGTGCAATCCTACTGTGTGTTTTCAATATCAAGTGCTAATACATTGTCCAGTGTTCCCACAGAATTACACCACTTCTGTGAGAAGGCCTGGCCAATATCTGATTGATTCTGGTCTGTGGGGATGGGCCCAGTTCAGTGCAATTTCCTCTCTTGTTGCTTTCTTGTCTATTAGAGAGGGTTTGGGTTTGTGGAAATCGATAGGCTTATACATGCAAAATGTGAGGCTATTCCCTAGCAAGTTTCTTTTGCATCCTTAATTTACGGAAAATGCTGTTTTCTCCTCTGCACCTTTTTTTTTTTTTTTTAACTCTACTTAAACAAATACCTGTTAAAACCTACCCCCCAAAGTATTAATGCAGGAGAAGATCTGAATTCCTGTGAGGATGCTGGAGATGTTTAACTCATGTGTAGCCAGGGTCTGCTACTTAGGACATTAATAGCACTTGAGTGTTACATAAATGGAGTCCTATTTGTCTTAGCAGAATCATTAAAGTTATGATTTATCCTAAAATGGACACTAATGTTCTATTTAATCATAACAGTTATTTAAGCATCTAACAATCTATTTTCTCTCACCCTGTGAACTTTAGAAAGATGACAATTAATGGTGTACAATAGGAAACTTTTAAAGGAATATGCTTACAATATTTCTCTCACTTTTACAGAAACTGAAGCAAACTGAAGAAACAAAAGAAGATTCCCAGAACAGAGTATCTAAAATTTCCCTGGAGTCTCTCAATAAATTTAACAGCAATAATGCACTTTTATTAGAAAAAGAGAAGAACTGCCTGAACAAGGTTGAAGGACACAAGGAAGAGAATGGAAAGAAAGAAGCAGCTTCCTTGAACAACTCGGGTCGGCAGGATGTGGACAATTTGGAATCCCTAAGTGATTCCCTGTACGACAGCTTCTCCTCCTGTGCCAGCCAAGGCTCCAATGACGTTTAGGGACACTTCCAGCAGGCTGCAGCACGGAGTGGAGCTGAAGGTGAGCACGGGGTGAGGAGAGAGAGGAGACTGTGCTTGACAATTCCCCCTCGAGCTCGCTGTGCTCATGTCAGGGTGTTCTGACCTCCCAGCACACAGCAATAAGGCAGGGCAGCATCACAGTGGTGCAGGGGACTCAACACCCCCAACACAACGAATACACAGAATAAAGTCTTAATTTTGCACTTTTGTGAATATTTGTACAGTTGTAAATACCTTGGGAAAATATATTTGTAGGGATACACGACAGCAATAAATATTAAATTGGTGCTATGCTCCTGTAATGGCAGATTACTAACTTAAAGAAATTGGTGTGTATATTAACAAGAAAAGCTAGTAGATTTTTTTTTAAGAGTTATAATTGTCATAGTCTTAAGACTGTCTGTAGAATCACTGCATTACCATAAACTTGAGCCTGCCAGATTGTCTTTAATAAACTCTCGCATACTCCCTTTTAGAAAACATATTTTCTTTTTTCTTTTTAGTGCAATTCCATACAGGTATTCTAGGGAAACATGTGTTTCAGTTAGTACAACTTCACAACAGGTGTCTTATTTCAAAAGGGTTTTGACTTTTGACATGGCAAGAAAATGAATAGATTAAAAGGCCTGATACTGCTGGCATTGGCTTCATCAATCATGCACATAACTGTTTGAAAGATCAGGGTCAAAGCAATTCACTGCTGACACAAACAGGAGTCCTGTAGGAATGAGAACCACATAAACCACCCTGCACTTCTGACTGCAACGTGGCTTTTCAACTTCCACCTCTGTACTGTACTCATTTCCCATCAAATTATAAATGTACCATACTGTGTTATCTTTTCTAGTCTCTGTTTGGTCTTAAGCAAATTCTGAACGCTAAAATTCAACTCCTGTTTGTGACACACTAAGATGTTGGTGCTAACCAGTACTAGTTCAAACATATCTTGGAGCAGGGGGATTGGGCTGTATTGGGTGTTTTTGTTTTTTTCTACAAAGGTTGTTTATATGTAAGGGAGAGTCTATTGCAAAGGTTCTGTGTATTTTTTCTAGATGTGAAGTATTTATAACTGCTTTTTGTACAGCAATTGTAAAGTAGATATATTTGGGGTATTTCTAGACTCTACAGTTTCTTTAGCACATGCTTGTTAATCTTTGAAATATTGTATGATCAGTGTTACTATTTTGTGCAAATTGTTATATTTTCATTCATTTCTGCCATAAACTTGCATCGTCTTTTTCAACTTTTAAGAAATTTTCATTGAAACATCTTTCGTAAATAAAACTTCTCTTGCCTACCGGTGCCTGCTGGGGGGTTTTGGGAAGGGGATGCTGTGACAGCTTGGGCTGGGGTCAGGAGCCGCCCCCGCTCCGGGACAGCGATGTGTTCGGAGAAGTGACACGGGGCTGTTAAACAGCGATTTTAGCTTAATTAACTCTTCCTTGGAGCAGAGCTGTGAAACGATCGCTGGCAAAGGGGGCGACGCACAGAGACGGTCCCACAGGGACGATGCGGGGGCAGCACCCCGGGCTGCCCCTGCCCTCCCCACGGCGCTGCCCAGCCCCCGACGGCTCTCGTCGCTTTATCCCGCCCCATCCCATTCCATTCCACCCCCCCGTCAGCTCCTGCCGCCTCATCCCGCTTCCCCCGCCTCAGCCCATCCCGCTGCGTGTCCGCGGGGGCGGCAGGGTCTGAGCGCCGCTCCGGCGCGAACGCGGCCACCGCGCCCTTTTCCCCCGCGTTTTGTTATGCTGGAATTCCCTTTTAGAGGGCTGGGAGGAGGGAACGGCGGGGCCGCGCCTCCCCTCGGTCCCTCCCGGGGTCGTGGGTGCTGCGGGGCGGTCGTGGGAGGCGAGCGGCGCCTGGCAGCGGGCGCGGCCCGTCAGTCCCCGGCTGCCACCTGTGGGCTCGGCCGGGCGGGGACACGGCAGGGACCGGGCGAGTCGCGCACGGCGCGGGGTCTGTGCCAAAGATGAGGAGCCGAGGAGCCGGGCGGGGATGTGATATGATGTGATGTGATGAGCAGCCGCGGCGGGCAGAGGGTCGCGGGGCCCCTCGGCAGCGCCGTGCGAGACGGAGCCGGAGCTGCGGGGGCTCCCCTCCCTCGCTGAACTTCGCCCGTCCCCGAGGCGCTCCCGGCGAGGTGCGGGGCGGCTGGCGGGGATCCCCGCCCCGCTCCGCCGGCATCACATGGTGCTGGGGGAGGGAGGGGGGAGCCGCCCCCCAGCCCTCGCTTCTCCTACAGTTTCTTCCAGTCTCAGCGCTCAACTCCGGCGAGGCTGGAGCGCGGCGCGGGGCTGGGCAGGGCGGGCTCCGCCGCCGGCTCCCGGGGCGCCGCTCCGCAGCGGAGGCGGCGGGGAAGCGGCACAAGTGCGCGGCGCCTCCGCTGCATCTCGGCTTCTGATGCCCCTTCGCGCCTGCACGCCAGCCCGGCGGCCGCGGCTCCGGGAGGATGCGGCTCTTCCTCCTCGCTGCAACTTTCTGGGGATTGTGCCTGGCTCCAGGTAAGGGCTCCGCGCAGCTCGCCCGGGGGTGCCGGCTGCCAGCGCGGCGCTGGGAGCCTCCGTCCCCTCGTAGCCCCTCGACGGAGCGGCTACCGGGCGTGAAAAGGAGCGGGGCGGCGGAGCCCCCGTCCTGCCCGCGGCCCGCAGAGCCCCCGCCGTGTCCCCAGCGCTGCTGTCCCCAGCGGGGCGAGGCGGGGAGCGGCGCGGTGCTCCCGGCGGATGCCGCCCGCTGACTCGGCGGGCAGTGGGTCGGTGCCAGCGGGCGCTCCCGCCGCCGCAGCGCTCCCAGCGGAGAGCGGGCACGGGCCGGGGTCCCCGCCGCGGGACGAGGGTGCGGGAACGGCCGGGAACGCTGCTGGCGAGCCGCGCGGAGCGCCTCGTTTGCATGATAAAGGAGGGATGCTCCGCCGGCGGGGGATGCTCCGCCGCTTTAATTGTGCATGGCAAAATAGTAATTAAATCATTTGTAATTAATTAGTAGCTAAGTAAACCCTTCGGTACAGATAAGAGCGTATCTACGAGCCGGGTTGCTCTCTGCGGGGCGCGGGCGGCTTTCAGCCGCGGGGCGGGCGATGGGCAGCGGCTGCGGGGCTCTGCCGGTGCCGGTGTCGGTGTCGATGCCGGTGCCGGTGTCGATGCCGGTGCCGATGCCGGTGCCGGTACCGGTGGCCGTCGCCTCCTGGCGGCGGCGTCTCCAGCACCGAAGCGGAGAAGCGAAAGGAGCATCAGCTCAGCTGAGCGGGCGGCACGCTTGTTTTACTTTGTATTTGTCAAAGGGACACTCTGAGCTGTTGAGTAGCCGAGAACAGCCGAATGCGAAGGGGGAAAGATTAGGAAGATTTCTGGCACGTGTCGGTAGTTTGGTTTTCTTCGGTGTTTGGTTTTTGTTTTGGTTTTTGGTTTGGTTTGGTTTTTTAATACTGTTGCTATTATTTAAGGGCATTATTTAGATGGGGCACCCGGTTGAGCAGATTGTGTCCCTGCCCATGGCAGGGGCTTGGAATGAGATGATCTATAAAGTCCTTTCCAAAAGAAAGCATTCTATGGTTTTAAACAAATCTCTATCTGTTCCAGGTTCGGGTTTGCAAATACAGTGTTACCAGTGTGAGGAGTTCCAGCTAAATAATGACTGCTCCTCTCCGGAGTTCATAGTGAATTGTACAGTGAATGTTCAAGATATGTGTCAGAAAGAAGTAATGGAAAAAAGTTTTGGTAAGAATTTAATAATTATTCTTCTGTTTATGTGGTTTAGGCAGCATTTGTTGCTTTTGGCTCCACCCATTCATGGTGTTCAGCTTCATATGAATCTTGTGTCCCTACCTGAAGGAACTGGATTTAATGTCTTATACTTCTGAGTGGCTTTGCAACTCAATGAAGTTAAGCATTTTCCTTTAAAAACTGGTGTAAAAACTGAAGGATGCAAGGCAAATGTTGATAAAGCTGCTTAATACACAGTCTTATGGGTCTCTGATATAGTTTCCCAGCACTGGGAAATTAATAACAACAAGTTAGTTTAATCTCATTACAGTTAATTACATGGGCTTTTTCCCCAAGAGATAGAAGAGCATTAAATTAGTAATTCCCTCCTTTCTTTTATTTACTCAAGCAATTTATATACTCTGAAGATTCATCTTAAGGGAAGGAATGTGTAGTACTGATCTTTGCTTTCATCCACTAAAGCAACCATCAAGTAAAAGGGAGAAAGAGTTTTCTTTTTAAAAAGTGGGGGGGAATTTAGGGGGGAAGAGAAGGGCACAAATGGATTTATCATACCAATTTTTAAGATTTTTTTTCCCCTTACTGAAATTAATATTTAAATTCGCATATTAGGACATCAATGTGTCCAAGAGGAAATCAGCTGTGATTCTGCACCTTGCCTCTGTTGTCTTTTGGGCTGTTCTATAAATGGCTGGGGTTTGTTCAGCATCGTGGAAGGCATTTGGGATTCAGAGAGAACTGTCAGGCCTTACACTGCTGTGTTCCCCTGTAGCTCTCTACACGAGCAGAAGACAGGAGCTCTGTTAGGGACTCCGGGGCAGTGTGAGATGGCAGGAAGGGAGCTGGAGCTCATGGAGCCTCCTGCTCCCACTGCAGGCAGCTGAGAGGGTGCCAGGCATTGGAATGGATGAGGAGCAGCCCCAGCCTGGATGTGCCCCCTGTGCCAAGCCTGGGGAGCAGAGGGCAGCCTGGGGCTTCAGAACCCTGACTGAAGGGGATGCTGCTCTCTGGGATGCCCATCTCACAGATTTGGGGTTTTGCTGTTAACACAGACTGAGTCACAGTCTGTCCTTCCCCAGCAAGTCCTCCAGGAGCAGCAGGATGCCTCTGTGTGCAAACGTGTGCAGTCATCCATCCTGAACAGCAGCAATGCTTCCTGGGCTGAGCAAACTCCTCTTCCTCCTCAGTCAGCTGGTCCCACCTGTGCTGGTGATTTCAGGTCCCTGTGTAATCAGTCCTGATAAATATAATTGTTAGGCATCAAAAACAGCTGAACTGCTGACACTCTCACCATCCACAGTGACCACTGCCATGAAATACTTAGAACCTGTCCAGTGCAGGAGAAAAAAAGTTGGTTTTAAGCTGTTTAAAGGAAGATTAGTCTCTCTTAAGTTTTTGTTTTTTTTTTTTTCTGGAGTATTTTATTTCAAGTTTACTTGGGAAGGGTGGTGAGGGTGTGAGATAGTTACAGCTTGCAAGGTACCTTTAAAATCTTGAGTATCTCTAAATGACTGCTTCAAGGCTTTGCTATCTCCACACCACAGCTTCTGTAGCACTTTCATGAGGTTAGACAGGATGTTGTGGTGATTTGGAGGGCTCTAGATGTGGTAGTAGACACAGACAGGAAAGTCAGATTTGAACTCTTTTCATTGATGCATAACTTGCCATTACTCCTGTGAAAAAATGGGTTGCAATACAGTAAATAAGCAGCTCTTAAACTGCTTGGTGGGGTTTTTTTCTGTGCAATTTTATGTTTTTTCTGAGTAGATCCCTGGGGTTTTTTTCCTTTAGGAGGTTACTAGCTTGCTCTGCATAGCAGGTTGCCACTGTTCTATTACACTTACTTCTATAAATGCATTTCTTATTAATTTTAAGTTCAGAGATTGTAAATTTCAGCCAGTTAACAAATTAAAATTTTAACCTATTTCAAACTGAATGAAATTTACATTGCAAACTTAGTTTCTGTTACCCTCAGTCAATTTTAGAGAGCATTGGTTGTAAAACAGAGATGATTCAGTTCATCATCCTTTATTGCTTTTATTCCTAATTGATATTTAAATGTGTGCAATATAAATGCTTTACTCTCCCAAGTTTTATTTAATAATTCATTTTACTTCTACCAGTATATTTCATAACCTGATTCTTTTGGTTGTTGCTTATTACTAAAAGCTGAAATGTTTCAAGTATTGATTTTAATTTGTAACAGACTTGAGTTTGAGCTTTTAACCCAGAAAATGAAAGACGCAAATTTGCATTCATTTGACAGCACAATCTCATAATTAGAGTTCTTTCCTCTCGACTAAATACAGTCAAAGGAGTGGAATTTTCATAGATTAACCCATTTTTGCCATTACCAAAACACAGCTGTGTCAGTGAGACAAGTGCCCCAAGTTATCTCAAACTTTATTTAAACTCTGGCGCAGCGTTCTGAGGCAGAGCTCAGGGTGGCAGTGGGTGACCATCCCTCTGAGGGAGCCACCCTTCTGCACAGGCACCACTCTGAGTCTTGCTGCCAGGGGCTCAGCCCCAGCCTGTGCCCAGGGACTTCTCCTCGAGTGTTTGCTGGCTCAGGAGCTGTGCCACGGCAGCTCTGTGGCTCAGCTTCGTTTCTGGATTAAAATCCCTGTCCCAGAGGCACCACGGTGGCAGCCCTGGGCTGCTCTCCCCATTTACCTTGTGCAAAGCTCCTTATGCCTGCTCACAGCTAACTCCTCCTCAGTTTCTCCACATTCAGTGCTCCAGATGTCACTGGTTTCTCTCAGAGCATTGTCCCAGCTCCAGGTGAGAAATGACAGCAGCCAGGCGTGTTCCTAACCAGAGCTTGCTCCTGTGGCAGCCTCTGGTGTGAGCAGCTAGGAAAGCAGGTGTTAGTAACTTCTATTCTGAGTAAGATCACCAGGCTTCTGATCTCAGCTGTTTGTTGTATCAGGTAGACATTTGCTCCTTTGGACAGCTTAAAGCGAATTGAGAACTGGGCAGCAAATGGCAAAATATTTTTCTCTCTTAAGGCTGAGTTGTATTTAAAATTTTTGCCAGAGAAAGTTTAATGATTGTTGGAATTCTGTTCCAGTGGGAGATACAGGACAAGACAGTATTTTCCCTGTGATAAAGAATCTTACTAATTAATCTGTTAATTAAATCTCAAAAAAAAAAAAAAAAAAAAAAAAAAAAAGAAAGAAAAGAAAAAGCCTTCTTTTAGAGGGAGGAGTGATGAGAATGGAAAGTGGCACTCAAGACCACAAAATTTTTATCCCACAGAAATTGATGTAAAGGATAAGTTTTTAGTGCATTTTTCAACTGGATAAGCAGGTGTTTTAAGACTGTGTAAATTGAATGTTTGACAAAGGATCAAAGTTCTTACCACAATTCTACTTGCAGATACCTTGTGGAAATACCTGTGGTGGATTCCCTGCTCCCACCTGCCCCTCTCTTTCCAGTCTACAGATTTTTAAATTAGACATGTCAGTGCTCCTTCATTTTTAGAATATATGTAGCAACAAAGAAATCCCACAGTATATTGGGATCAAGTGAAACATCTTGGTGATCTATAGATGAGTGTATAGTGTGTATATGCTTTTATATATATTATATATCATAGAAAACATACTGGTAATGGTAGTTTTGTCTTTTACTGAGGGGAAGAGTTATCTGACATAAAGGCTGATCTAAAACCTACTTCAGGCAAAATGAACCTTGCAATGTGAACACATAAGTGAGGGATAAAGCAGGAGGGATGAGACAGCCAGCCCAGAGAGGTAGCCAGTCTCAATTTCTTGGAGCCCTCTGCAAGTAAACCTGCCCACGAGCATGTTTGGAACAATACACCGTCTGTTCTAATCTACTTGTGAACATACTTTTACTAACTTTTGCAAGGAAAAAAAATTATTCACTGTAGCAATGCCAGTAAAATATCAAGGATTTTTCCTTTTGCAAGCAACTTGGGAAGCAATCAGATTATTGGAATAATCTGCAATAAGAAATTTTGCTTGTCTCTTTGGTTTACTATGGTCCTTTTAATGTATTTAATTGGCCTATAACTCTGCAGTGTAGTTAAAGAAATTGCAGTGATTGCGTGCTTAAAAGTAGTGCATGGAAACACCATGAGCAAGATCAGCATCTCAGTGTTGAATCAGAACTTTATCTATTTCTTTGAACTCTTTTCAGTATTGGTTTTTCCATAATTTGTTTTATCAGTGCCTGTGTTGCATGACGAGTTGGGCTGTGGTAAATTCTTTACCTGTAATTATTACTTGGTTTTGCCATGACTGAGTTGTTCATGTTTGCAAGGATTACAGAACCACATACTTTATTCTGTGTTCATGTATAGAATCCATTAGTACTAATGTTAATTGCATATTTCTATCAAGGGGGAATTATGCTCGGTGTACTTTTATTGACAAAGTGATTAAAACAGTAAACAAAGTTTAATGTTGCCAGAATTACTGTAGGCATTAAAGCTTTATAGGAAGTTGTTGCATACCCAGTATCCATTTAGAAACAGTAAGAAACATCTACTAAATTGATGGTTGATTTGTTAGTTTGTTTTTGTTTTTTTTTTTCCTCTACACTTTTTGGTCAAAGGATATCAACATAAGAGAATTTGTTGGTGGCTGGGAGAGGAGTTTGTTTGTTTTTTAATCAAAGCAAAGCATGATAGAATAAATCTTTATTGGCATTTTTAAAAGATAAATAAAAATTTTGCATGGGACAGTTGGTACCTAAAACATCACATATTGTGCTACCAGTGAAATGAAGACATAATGTTGATATTGGAAACACAGTTCACTTTTGATATTGAATAAAAGACCTGCAATGGACATTGTTAATTACTGTATGTTGAAAACTTGGAGCTGTGGATACGTTTCCATTCAGAAACACTTTTTCGCAAATGTCAAAACCATTTCCTCACTTGTAAATTTTTTCCAATCTTTGGGTTTCTCAGAAAACTTCCAGCCACTTATGGAATGCACTGACTGAGTGTGTCAGCTAAGGAG